CTAGGCCAGGGTAGGAGCTCGGTGAAGCACAGCCCTCCGGAAGTCCTCACCAAAGTCAGGTCAAAGCAGAGATGGGTGGTCTGAGTTCCTTGAGTCATGAACCAGCCCTGACAGGGACGGTCATTCAAAAGCTGTAGCAGGCAGGTAGCATTACCCCCTCAGTGTCCCCTGAGGTGTGCTGAGCCCAAGATAGAGACTCCTTGCAGTGGCTTGTGAAGGATTGGTAGGCAATACTGCCTTGTCAGAATGGCAGACGGGCATCTTAACAAGAACCCGTATCCAAGTAGAGCTAACTATCCTAAGACCCAGTCTGATGAACAACTCCTTCCCCCACAGCATCAGTAAATAAGTGTTTTTCAGTCTCTCATTTTCTGTTTACTTAGCTTTTCCTTTCCATCCTCTTGTCTATATTCCCTGCAGCTTTTCAATCCTTGGGCCTGGCTCATGCCATTCTCTCACTTGGAATGCTAAACTGAATGCATCTCTCCAACCCAAATCTAAATTGGTAGATCCAGAGGATTCCATATTGAGAGCTGTCTATTCCCTAAAACCTTCTTTGCTAATCTTGGAATCACTCACCACACTACTCCTCAGACCTAGGACAGTAAGGTGAGTGACAGGGACTTGGAATTACGCAAACCTTGGTGGAATTCCTGTCTCTATCCCTGACTAGCTCTGTGATCTGCAGTAAGTACATTTCTCTGAGCCCTGTGTCCTCATCTGAGAAGTTGGAAATCAAATCTTACCTTGCAAGTCTGTTGTATAATATATGGAAATATTTATAATTGTGGAAAGTCTTTAAGACAATTCTCAGCACATAGTAGATACCCAGTACACATTGACTTTTATTGTTAGCTTTTCATGTGGAAATTGTGGGCAGAAATAGATTTAAGATGGAGGATTAGGAAGCCAGGACTAGGAGAACAAAGATAAAATTGGGGACAGGTGTTGAGGCCAGCAAATATGAAGCACTCCGAAGTTTGGGTGTGTTAACCCAAGGGCAAAGGGAACCAGGATCAGACACCAGGGGAGCAGTGAGACTACAAGCAGCTAGAGGTCAGGGCACAGATGTGGCCACTGACTTACATTGCTGGGGTCAAGGAGAGTATCCACCAAGTGTTCTTGATCATGATGTAGTAAAAAATATATAAGAAAGCTAATATTTACTGTATACTTACTTTGCCATATCCCATTCTAAGTGTACCATTTCAGTTAGTCCTCACAACAGCCCTATGAATTAGGTATTATTATAATTGAGGGCACTAAAACAGACTAAATGTTTAGATGACTTGCCTAAAAAACATAGCTAGTAAGTGGCAGAGCCCAGAGGCCAACCGATAGTGTCTCAAGAGCCCATTCTTTTAACTACTACCCTCTAACAGAGATCTCCAACTGGAAGCTTTTCTTTGAGGATCCAGGGGCCAAGCCAGAAGATGGGGAGCCTGGAAAGGGTCAGCCAGCAGAGCAAATAATCTCTAATTATTTATTGTGATTTTTTTTAGGATTTTTATTTTTAGGTTTTCTCCACCCAATCTGGGGCTTGAACCAAAAACCCTGAGATCAAGAATCACGTGTTCCTCTGACTGAGCCAGCCAGCTACCCCTCTATTTATTGTTAACATTATTAATATAACAAATGGTTAATATAGCATTTGTGAAGACTTGATTTCCTGGCACTGGACTAATTTGCTTTGTCTGTATTCTTTAATCCCACAACTACTATGTAAAATAGTATCTATTTTGTAAATGAAAACATGAGGCTTATGAAGTTGCTTTCTTCCCCTTCACATCAAAGGAATACTACTTTTGCCATCCACTCCTCAATCTATACTTTTTTTTTTAATATTTTTATTTCTAGGAGAGAGAGAGAGAGTGTGTGTGTGAGCAGGAGAGGGTCAGAGAGAGAGGGAGACACAGACTCTGAAATAGGCTTCAGGCTCTGAGCTGGCAGTCAGCACAGAGCCTGATGCGGGGCTCGAACCCACGAACCACGAGATCATGACCTAAGCGAAAGTCGGACACTTAACCGACTAAGCCACCCAGGCGCCCCTCTATAACTATCTTCTGATCCAAGTTCTCCACTGAAAATTCTCTAGTGAGATTACAATAGCCTTCCTGGTGCTAAACCCAGGGGACATTCTTCAGTGATCAACTCAGTGACTCTTCTGCACTCCCCCTTGATGATTTCTTCAACCTTCATCATTTACAGGACTATAGCTTTTTTCCAGGGCTACCTCTCTGACCTATTTTTTTTTCCCGTTTTCTTTCTTCTTGTGCTGGTTCTTTTTTTTTTTTTTTTTTTTTTTCTAGGAGAGAGAGAGAGCGTGAGCAGGGGAGGGTCAGAGAGAGAGGGAGATACAGACTCTGAAATAGGCTCCAGGCTCCGAGCTGGCAGTCAGCACAGAGCCCGACGCAGGGCTCAAACCCACGAACCGCGAGATCATGACCTAAGCGAAAGTCAGACGCTTAACCAACTAAGCCACCCAGGCGCCCCGTGCTGGTTCTTATATGTGAGTCTTCTCCAGGAGCACATCCACATGTCTCCTTAATCTACATACTTTCCTTGAATGTTCTCACCCACTTCCTGGTCTCAGCTACCACTGGAATGCTGAAGGTTGGGGAAATGGCACCATACCCTTGACATCCCAAAGACATCCCAAAGAGACTGCAACTGCCCCATAAGCATCTCAAGTTGAAGTGTATCAAGCTCAACCTTTTACTGTACCACCCTCAACCCTACCTGGCTTCAAGCCACCTCTCCCTCCTCTCCATTATTTTCAGTTGAGGTGCTGCCAACCACCCAGTTACTCAAACCTAGAACCTGAAAGTCATGTTCTTCTCCACCCTCCTAATCCATTCTAAATCTAAGAGCTGTCAATTCTGTCTCCTTCATCTTCTGAATTTAGTCACTTCTGTCTACAGACCTGGGAAAACCTAGTGGAAGCCAACAACACCTCTCACCTCGTTGACCACCAGTTCACTCCTTGTCTTCCTACTTCCAGTTTGGCCCCTTCTTTTGTTTTCTCCACTCCAGTCATAACATTTTTAAAGCTCAAATGCAGGGAATAACATTGGTTTTGAGCTTTTCGTCCCTCCTTTGATCTTCATTGCTCTCAGGATGAACTCTAACCCTTCAACAAGACACTCAAAGCTGTCTGGAATCCTGGTTCTGTCTGCCTTTGGGCCCCATTACCCAGCCTTGCTCTCCAGTTAAACGAAACTTCTTGTGGTTTCCTAAGTACACCATGCCTCACTAATTTTTTTTCAGCATGTAATAGTCAGCTTAAAAGTCCCCCTTTCAGGAAGCCTTCTCTAATCCCCCAGGCTAGGTTAGATATTTCTCTTTAATGCTCCTATTTTACCTTGTGAATATTTTTTAATTAAAAAAATGTTTATATTTATTCACTTTTGAAAGAGAGGGAGAGGATAAACAGAGGAGGGCCAGAGAGAGAGGGAAACAGAATCCGAAGCAGGCTCCAGGCTCTGAATTGTCAGCAGAGAACCTGATGTGGGTCTCAAACCCATGAACCATGAGATCATGACCTGAGCCGAAGTCGGACGCTTAACCAACTGAGCCACCCAGGCACCCCTACATTGTGAATATTTCTGTCACTTCATCTTCAGTACTGATTTATGATTTGTCCCATACCTATCTTCTGCACTAGTTGGTAAGTTTGTGGTTTAGGGCAGGAACTATTGAATTCCCAGATCTTCTAGGACACAGTAGGCCCTTAGTGATTGTTTGCTGAACGAATAAATAAGTGATTAACTTTCTTAAGATTATATTGCAAATAAGTTCTGAAACTGGAACCAAAATTCTGTGGCACTCTAAAACCCATGTTCTCCCACTAATGCATACATCAAATGGTATAAAAAGATACTACACCCAAAAGAATTGAAAGCAGGGTCTTGAAGAGATGTTTCTATACCCATGTTCATAGCAGCAGCATTCACAATAGCTAAAAGGTGGAGGCAACTCAGATGTCCACTGATGGGTAAATGGATGACTAAGCAAAATGTGGTATATACATACAATGGAATATAATTTGGCCTTAAAAAGGAAGGAAATTCTGCAATATGCTGCAACATGGATGAACCTAGAGGACATCAAGCTAAGTGAAATAAGTCCATTACAGAAAGACAAGTCATTGCATGATTCCATTTATATGAGATACTTAGTGTAGTCAAAATCATAAAGGCAGAAAGTATAGTGGTGGTGGCCAGGTGCTAAGGGGAAGGGAGAATGGGGAGTTATTATTTAATTGATAATAGAGTTTTAATTTTACAAGCTGAAAAAATTCATGGGGACAAAGGGTGATGATGATTGCACAATTTGAATGTATTAATATCACTTTATACTTAAAAATTATTAAGAAGGTGAATTTTATGTTATGTGTATGTTACAACAATAAAAATTTTCCAAGAAAAGCCCCCAAACAAAATATACTGCAAGGAGTCTCATTCCCATTTTTCTCCTACATCGTCCCGATTTCCTCTCTCTCTGCCCCAAGGTAACCAATCTTGTTAGTTTCTATGTCTCCTTCCAGGTTTTATTTTTGCCAATACAAGCAAATATAAAGCTATATTCTTCACCTTCTGACCTTTTTAAAAATTTATATTAAAAAGAAAAATGTTTAGGTACTTTTTCTGAAGTATGTAGCAAAAAGAGCTAATAAGTACTCAGCTGGAATGAATTCACAAGATGGAGACTTGGAAGAGGATAGTTTATTTGATGAGGTAAAATAATCTTGCTTGCTTACCACCAAGGGGGCCTCTAGGGACTCCTAGGGTCCCCCAAGACAGAGCCTGTGGTCAGGTATCTCTCCGAGGCAGGTTCTGGCAGATTTTCAAGCTCCTCAGAGTTATCTTTGGAGCTCTCCTAGACCACTCCCTCTGATGCAATATATGGGTTTGGACAGAAAGGACGGTGCTGCACAGCCCGCCCCTTCTGAGCTGTCTGGGCTGGCTCCTCTTCCTAGAACAATTCAGGCTTCACAGCAACTCAGACCTCAGCTCCAACATCTATACTCTGAAGCAAGGATGGCTGAGATGGACAGAATGCTTCATTCTGGAAGGAAACAGTGGTCCAGGTCAAGCTGAGTCGGCCAAATACAGACCCACTCTATGGTTCTAGAAGAAATTTTGACACGTCTTACCATGTGGTTTTTCTACGCCTTGATTCCATGTTTGCTCCTTGGTAAGTACGAATTAGGATATGGCCAATAGCTTGGGATTCAAATGTAGGTTAAGAAGGTGGAAAAATAACTTCAGCAGAGTTTGGAGTTGTAATATATGCATAGAACATCCTATGTCTGTCTGTTTCTATAAAAAGGTTTCTTACCGCCTAAATCTTCATCCCATATCACAAAGCAAAAGCCAGCGTTCTGTTTGGAAATCTCTTTCCTAATGGTCACAGAACAATCTAAAAAAATAAAGTATCAAAACAAACAGTTTTAAAGGTTAGCAGAGCTCCATGCATTTTATTATTTATCTCATCTGGTTTTACAAGGCACAACATGGTTATCTCAGTCTTTGTGTGCTTTGGAGATGTTAATTGGAAGGACATGTTAAAGTAAAATAAAGATTCTAACAAAATACACATGAATAAAAAGGCTTAATTTGCAACCTTGATATTGGGTATAAGACTTATAAAAATTGGATTTCTCTCCTGATCACTGCAGAGAAAGTAGCAGTTAGATATTCCATAGCATTTGAACAAACTTGGTTTGGAGTATTTTCCCTACCAGTCAGTTTACACAATTTTCTCTGCTCCACCCCTGGCTGCTTGTACCTACATGCTTTATTGTTCCAAAATTGAAGCTCTTTAGTCTTTGATGTTTCTTCATGTTTAATGCTCCAAGGTACTGGGAACTTTGCACTGTTGGTAGGAGCCTTGAGTACTGTCTTTTTCTTTTCTTTTTTTTTTTTTTTAACACTGAGAACTAATTGTTTTAGTTTAAATCAGGCAACACATTAGTGCTAAAGTGATTGCAAATGTTTAGAATTGGCTTTAACATCATATTTATGGTGTCCCAATTGCTCAGCACATGGTGTTCAAATCTGCTGTTTGTTTCATGACCCAGCATATTCAGGCCTCAAGTCTATTTCTCACTATTCCTTGACAACAAATACAAACGACAGGCAGCTGCTGTCTTCACATTGACATGTAACACCCTCATCTCCTCCTGGCTTTTATGATGGTTCCCACCAGAAGCCCCATCTCCAGCCCAACCTCCTATCATCATTCTGGATGGGCCGCTCTTCCTTCAGACTCTTACTGGACCTCTCTCCCCTTTGACCCTTGACCCCACATACTCTACTTAGGGGGGCTACTTCTGTTAATTGCATTGACCTGAGGGAAATGCCTGGGCATCTTTTCTTTTCTTTTCTTTTCTTTTTTTACAAATAGTTTATTGCAAGTTGGTTTCCATATAACACTCAGTGCTCATCCCCACAAGTGCCCTCCTCCATGCCCATCTCCCCCCTTCCTCCCCACACCCATGAGTCCTCAGTTTGTTCTCAGCATTCAGGAGTCTCTCATGGTTTGCCTCTCTCCCTTTCCCCCACCATTTCTCCCCTCTTCTCCCCCATGGTCCTCTGTCAAGTTCCTCCTAATCCTCCTATACGTGCAAACATATGGTATTTGTCCTTCTCTGCCTGACTTATTTCGCTCAGCATAACCCCCTCAAGGTCCATCCATGTTGCTACACATGGCCAGAAGTATTCCATCGTATAGATAAACCACATCTTCTTGATCCATTCGTCCGCTGATGGACACTTAGGCTCTTTCCATGTTTTGGCTATTGTGGAGAGTGCTGCTATAAACATTGGGGTCCATGTGCTCCTATGCCTCAGCATTTCTATATCCCTTGGGTAAATTCCTACCAGTGCTATTGTTGGGTCATAGGGAGTTCTATTGTTAGTTTCCTGAGGAACCTCCACACTGTTTTCCAGAGGGGCTGCACCAGTCTGCATTCCCACCAGCAGTGTAGGAGGGTGCTGGGCATCTTTTCTGGTGTCCTCACCTATGCTAGCTCCTAGCATAGGGTAAACCTGTTGGTTAATTGGTTAGTTAGCTGGTTGATCAGTTGGTGGAACAAGTTGCCAGGAAAACATGCCCCCACTAAGCCAGAGGGAGAAGACAGGAAGGTCAAATGAGAAGGGGAAAGCTCAGCATTTTTCTTCTAGGTTCTTTTTCCTTTATTGAGGTATATTGACAGATAACATTATATTATTTTCAGGTATACAGCGTAATGATTTGGTACTTGTACCATAACAAATCTAGTTAACATCCATCACCATACATAGTTATGTAACCGAACCCTTGTGAGTTCGCTTCTTGAGGAGTCAGAAACTGCACCAGCTTCATTTTTTGCACAAAGAAAACTTGTATTTGCAGCAAATAAGGAGATCGTAGGGAATGGCTTCAAAAGCAGTAACTCCCCAAGGGTGAATGGGTTCCTTTTATTTAGGGTTAGGCTGACTGTTTAGATAGGGAAGCCTTGTCACACATGCACCTTAAGGAAACATGCCTATCCATATAGTCTATGTTACATAAATGAAGCGTGTGGTCCTCCTCCGGTGGAGATTTTCATATTATAATGAGGTAGAGGTAATTGCTGGTCTTTCCAGGGGTCACTGGTTTATCTGCACAGGCACATGCCAGGGGTTTAGCTCAGTCTATTCACATTCCTCCCCCTCCTTCTGCCACTGCCACCACCGCCACCACCACCACCACCACCACCACCACCACCACCACCATTCCCACTACTACTACTGTCACTACCACCACCACCACCACCACTATCCTCCTACTGCCACTACTACTATTTTCGCTACTACTGCCACTGCTACTACTACCACCAACAGCAACAACAATAATAATAATAACAATAATAATAATCACACTGGCCATTTTTGAGCACACACTGTGCTCCAGATTAGCAAAAATGTTCTCTTGACTTCTCACATCAATCTTGTAAGGTAGGTGGCTTTATCCCCATTTTACATACTAGGAAACAGATTCAAAGAGGTTCCATAATTTGCCCAAGTTAATGCATCTAGTAAGTGGGAGAACTGGAATTTGCCTCTGGTTTGGCTGATTCCATAGCCTGTGCCCTTTGTACTCCTCTGCAGAAGCTGCTGAGACACTGAAGCAGACCAGGAAAAGGGAGGACAAAGTAAAGGGAATAAAGAAACAAAAAGAAATACCTTTTCTGAGCATTTTCCATAATGGCTGTTGGAGGTGAAAGTGGCAGAAAGGAACCCAAAAGAGGGGAGTTGACAGCAGACCCAGTGGGACGAAACCAGCGTGGCATCATTCTAGGGAGGAGGAACAAGGATTTCTGCCTGGAAAGTTTGCCCAAGGGCTTTGCGGTGGGCAGCCTTCATTTAGCAGCCAAAAGGTCAAATGCAACATAGGAGATTAGGAAAAAGGAAGTCAGGCTGAAGCTAATTTCATGAAGGGAGCCAAGCTTGCTTCACTTACTTTTCCTCATTTGACATTTCTGGTACCTACTATGTGCTGGGTTCTGGGCAAGGTGCTGATTATAGATGACAAATTGGAGTCCCTTGCCTTTAGGGAAACTAAGAGCCTCCTGGGAAATGTATTTAAGTCTTTGGCATTTGGGAATTTACCATTATAGCTTCAACTACTATTTGGCAACTGGAGGTAAGGTCTGGATTAGTGGCACTAAGTCTCAAATGCACATTGCAATCATTGCAATCATCTGGGGAGCTCTTAAAACTACAAATGCTGGGTTTCGCAGCCAGAGAGTCTGACTTAATTAATCTATGGTGCTTTCTGGCCATTGGGATGTTTCAAAACTCCCTGGGTGGAGCTCCTGAGAGAAGTGGTTTGTTCCAGGACTGGGCAAAGAAAATACAAGTCTGGAGTATTTGTGGTAAGAAAGTGCTCCGAAAAAGGATGGAGGCCTAAATGAAATGAGTATCCTTGATTGAATCCTGGATTGAAAAAAGAACATTGGTGGAAAAACAGGCAAAATTCAAATAAGTGTGGAGTTTATTTAGTAGCAATGCACCAATGTTGGCTTCTTAGTTTTGACAAATATATAATGGTTATGCAAGGTGTTAGTATTGGCGGGAGCTGGGTGAAGATATATAGAGACTCTGTGTACTGTCTGCAGTTTTTTTCTGTAAATCTAAAATAATTCCAAAAATAAAAATTCTGTTAATAAAAATAACATGAAAAAAAGAGAGTGAGGAGTGGGAGTAAGTCAAAAGGACACAGGAACCAATTTGAAAGAGCTCCCAGTGGCCAAAGCTGGAATAATTTGGGTACCAAAGTAAGTAACAATAGGATAAAATAAATATTCATGAGTCCACACTAATATAAATAGTTGAACAAAGGAATGAATAAATAGTGGAGAAGGAACAGCTCTTCCTTACAAAATTCTAAGTAATAAATGGAAAATCACTGTTAATTGGAACATCACAGCCGTAATTGTTGCAAATGGTAGCCACTAGTAAGTGCTAAAATTAATGGATGAAAGTTTGAGGAGAAGCAGAATATTCATAGTGTCAAAGTATCTCCCCTAAGTTATTTATTAATTATAAAGAGGGAAATCGTAGTTTTTACATTAGAGATGCCAAACATCACCAGGAATAAGACATACTAGCCTCATGTACTCCCTGTCAATACATGCCAAAAATGTAGTACCTCAGTCAAATTATGGGAAAGCATCAGACAAAATCAAACTGAGGAATTTTCTACAAAACAACTGAGTAGTCCTCTTTAAAAAAAGGTAATGTTATAAAGACAAAGACTGAGAACAGACTGGAGGAGATTAATTAGATATGTGGTAACTAAATATGGGATTCTGGATTGGTTCCTGAGAAAAAAAGAAAGAACATTAGGGGGAAAAACTGATGATGTTTAAATAGAACCTGAAGCTTAATTAATGATATTGTATCTATGTTAATATCTTGATTTTCATAATTGTACCATGCTTATGTACATATGCACGGCTGAAATAGAGGGCATATGGGAGCTCTCTGTACTATATTTTGCAACTCTTCTCTGAGTCTGAAATCATTTTAAAACAAAACTTAAAGAAACCAAACCAAACCATCTGCCTCATGATTCTAATGGGGCAGCCAAGGTTGAGAATAGCCTCTAGACCCACGTTTCTCAAACTTTAATGTGCGCATGAATTACCTGGGAAACTTGTTAAAATG